TAATGCTAGAATGGAACTCTTTTTAATCCTGACACGAAGTCCATGAGGTTTTCCATTTTCTGCTTTGCCACCTTTAGTCTGACCTAAGATGACTTGTTGGTCTGACCTAGGATGACTTTAAAAGATCCCAAGTTGCCAGAAGTTTCAGTCATATGCAGATGAACACATCACAGCCAGAAAGGGAGACTGTTAAAAATATCTGTGCTTAGGAGTGAAAAATGTATGTCCATTAAATTTAGCCTCATATCTTATTAGTCAGTATTGTTTGACACATGAGTTCCCAAAAGAGCCATTGGCAGGGCCGTATATTTTGATAGAATCAAGCTTCATTTCCTTTGGGCAGGGAATGGCCCAGCATTGCATGAAGCATAATGCTGGCACCTTCATGGAGAAAATAGTGGAGTTTTTTTTGCAAAGAAAAAGGGTAAATAGCAGCATGGTAGAAAGCTAATAATTTCTGCCTAAGTATCCTTTCCTAATTAGGGACAGAATTGGCTCTAAGGCCTGACGGAAAAACTGAGCCTAGTGTATAAACACCTCCCCACCCACCCTACTCCAGTTTCTTTCAATCTGAACACTATGCTTGTTTGTTTGGTTTTTTTCCCCCAGCCTCCTCTAGTATGAGAGTACAGAATTACTGACTCTTGAATCACATCAGTGCAGTGGAGAGTATAAAAAAAAACCCACCCCAAAACATGATCTAGAGCTATGCTATTTGCCTTACTCCTTCCTAAAGGACTTTTAAATCTTCCATGATTGACATGAAAGACTAATTCCTTGGTGCTTGCTGGTTATCTCTTTGTTGTTCATCCTCCATGTTACTCCAGCAAAAGACTAACACCTAAAAACACAACATTCCAGTTAATAAATGCCCTTGGCTACTGCTTAATGCTGGTTTACAGTGTTGTATTTCATTTTAAATGACTAAAAGTGTTCAGGATGATCTCAAGTTATTGAAGATGGTAGCAACTGAGAACTAAATTATTCACAGAATTTTTTTCCCTTCCTGTGTGTTCTCCCTAGTGGCTGAGTGAAATCATCAGGAACTCTCCTTTTATTGCTAACATTTTTTTTCTCAGAATAACTGAAGAAACAATATAGAACAAAAATTTTCATGATTTTGTTATGTAGTATGATAAAAAATCTAGGATAGGAACTTCAGAAATTAACAATGTTAAGAAACAAATTACCTAAAATCTCACCTCTGAATACTTTCTTTTTTACGTATCACCTTGTATATCATTTTACAAGTGTGTTCATAGTTTACAACTATTCACATACTATTTTTGCTTAGCATATCTGTTAATATTTTCCCCACATTTCTACATTTCTGTCTCTTCATTGGCTGGATTTTATATTCTATACAATAAATTTCAGTTCTTTTCCTAATGTTGATCATTTAGCTTGATTTTTTTCTATTTTTTTATTGTAGTGAAATATACAAACATAAAACTTAGCATCTTAACCATTTTTAAGTATACACTGTCATATAGCCATCACCACCATCTGTCTCTGCAACTCTGTACATCTTATAAAACTGATGTTCTAAGAAGCAGCACATTACAGGCAGTTAAGCCCAGTTTTCAACAAGTCAATTTAAGAAACAAATGTTGGATGATATTCTGGAAACAAACACTCGGAAAGTAAATTTTTAAATATTAATGAATGACTTAGTTGCATTTTTAAAAAATGTGAGGTAAATACTTGGGAAGTTACAGAAGTAAGAACATTTGAGATTAGTCCTATGGCATAAATTATTTGGTTAGTATCATATAGTTCCATTGCCATATAGTTCCATTGGAGTGGATGAATATTAGTTTCTAAAATATTTTCTTAGGGGTATGAATGGCTGCTTTTTTTGTTGCTTTAGAGTTTCCTTCTGGAGTCTGGCTTTCACAACTTATTAAGATAATGGTTTATCCATTGCTTGTAGAAATTGTCAAACTCTTCATATGTAATTCTAAGGTTTTCTTCAATAGAGATCAGAGAAATGTTTCTGTAAACAGCCAGATAATAAGTGTTTTTGGCTTTCTGGGCCATACTGAGGTTGCAGCTACTCAGTTATACCATTTAGTTCTGCTACTGTAGCTTGGAAGCAGCCACAGATAATTCATAAATGAATGGACATTGGCTGTGTTCTAGCCAATGTTTATAAAAACAAATGGCAAATTAGATTTGAACTGTGGGCCATAGTTTGATGATTTCTGCTTTATACTCTGATCTTATTTTACCTTTTGAGCCGGATATTCCATGTTCTACCAGTTTTCTGATGTACTAGTTATTCCGGACTCTATAACTTAGCCTCACTTCCTTTCTATGTACATTGTTCTAATTGTTTTTTATAAATATCTTCTATATATCATGAGTGCTGGTTGTTCTCTGTCTTCCCTTCCATGTCCACTGGTCCTCCACTTGCTCTGCTCTGTGTTCTGGATGGCTGAATTGTCCTGCATTGTTTTGCATCCTGGTATCCCTTGTTGTGTGTTGGCTTCTGCTAAAGGTCAGCCAGTGGGAGTCACTGGGAGGATATCAAGGGGTGGGGTGGGGTGGGAGGAGAGTTTTTCCCATTTTTCTCCCTGCTTAAATGCTGTATGGATTGCAGTGGCTGTATCTCTGCATGACAACCCATCCATGAGTTCAGCTTTCACGAACTTGGTAATTTTATTTCCTTTCCTTATCCTTTCAGAGTAGCATTAACAGCTTATAAATATTTTTAGTCTTTGGGTGCTTAAGTACCCTGTGGTTTTTCCCCGATATGTCTGAAAAAGCAGTCTTCAAGACGCCATTAGGGTAAATTGTTTTTTTTTTTCTGGAAATATTAGTAATAATAACATGTTCTATAGCAGTTCTCAAATTTGTGCTTCCTGTAAATAAAGAAAGATAGGACGTAGTCACATTAATTAACAGTGGCACCCTATGGCAGTAATCTTCAACATGAGGCATATTAGAATCTTGGTTAGGAAGGAGGGAAGAGGGAAAAATAATTGTAGTTTGAAAAAAAAATTCCATTAGGTAAATGTTCTTCACAACCCTCATGAAGGAAATCCATCTCCTTTAAGAATTAGTATCTTATGGTGTGTTATTAGTTGATCTTTAAAAAAAATGCCAAGCACATTTCTTTCTTGGACCTTTATACTTGCTATTTTCTCTGTCCTTACTTAACCACCTGTTTAAAATAATAGCCTGTCGAAGAGGTCCCATTTGACCCAGCTATTCCCCTGCTGGGTATCTTCGCAAAAGAATGAAAAGAATCATACCACAGCGATGTATGTGCATCCATGTTTATAGTGGCACAGTTTGTAATAGCTAAAGCTTGGAAACAGCCCCAGTGCCCATCAACTGGAGACTGGATAAAGAAGATGTGTTTTTGTTTTTTTTCATAAAATGAAGTACTACTTAGCCATAAAGAATGACAAACTAGAGACATTTATAGTTAAATGGATGCATATTGAGGCCATACTCTTAAGTGAAATAAATAAGACACACATGTGTAAATACCAAATAGTTTCTCTGGTGTGAGACACTGAAAGTGTAAATAAGGATTAAAATGATTAAAATGAATAATTGATAATTTGAAATAAGAAGAAAAGGTCCAAAGGGGTAGGGGAAGTGGGAGGGGAAGGGGAAAAGAAAGGAGGGAAAGGAAAAGTTATGAGAAAAGGAAAAAATGGAAACAAAGTTTTTGTAAATAGGGAAGGGTGGAGGGGGTGAAGGCAGGACAGGGAATGGGGAAAAAATAAGAACCAAGATACATCATGTACAGGTACAAGTTAAGTACCCAATGATAAATGTAAATGTATACCTAAAATGTACGAATAAAAGAAGTTAAGGAAAAAAAATAATAACCTATCTCTTTTTATATTTTTACTGTTTTTTCACTTTTTTATTGTTTATACAGATAAATTAGTTTCATTTTACCAAGTTCGTATACCCACACAACATATTTTATTTTCACATCACCCAGCCTATGCCCTACCCCTCCCCTAGATTCACATTTTTTAGGGTTTCAGTGCATATAATGTGTTTTGATCACACCATCTTCCTATTACCTGCACTTACATTCCCCTTCTTCTGCACCTCCTTCCATTCTTCTTGTCTACTTTTTTGTCATCTTTTTTAGATATAACCTATTAGGGAGAGCATGGGATGTTTGTCTTTTCTGTCTGGCCTATTTTGTTCAACATGGACTCCAGATCCATCTTTTTTTTCTACAAATGCCAAAATTTTGTGTTCTTTATGGCTGAACAATATTCCATTATGTATGTATGTGTGTGTATGTGTGTGTGTGTGTGTATATATATATATACACACACACACACAGTGCATTTCTTTATCCATTTATCTGGTGATGAACATCCAGAAAGGTTTTATGTCCTGGCTATTGTCAATTGTTGTGCAGCAAAAATAATCTACCCTGTTTTTTAGTACATAGAATATATATTAAAAAACCCCGATGTTCTACACATATATTAAACAACACAGTAATTTCTTTTTCTTTCTCTCTCATCTCCTGAGAATCTGCCATTGTACTATAATATAGTATTTGTATTGCTAGCATATAATATTTATCTTTTTGTGACTGGTTTATTTGATGCAGATCTTATAGGTTCATTCAAGTTAGCTTATTGCATAATTCCCTTCCTTTTCATGGCTGAATAATATCCCATTGTATGGGTATAACATTTGGCTTATCCATTCATCTATAAATGGACAAGTTTGTTTGCTTCCACGTTTTTCCATTGTGAATGATGCTGATATAAGGTGTACAAGTGCCTCTTTAAAACCCTGGCTTTAATTTCTTTTGAATATATACCTAGAAATAGAATTGCTGGGTCAATGTATTTACCCTTTTGGGGATCTGCCCTAATATTTTCAACAGTGGCTGTGCCATAGGTTAATGGTAATGACCTAAGTCTCATTTTTATGACTATATTAATTTTTAGCCTTTCAAACACTGATAAATTGAAGTCTTAAGTGTTGGCATTTTTTTTTCTTTTTAGAAGCAAGAGAAAAAGAGGAAGAAATGAACAGAGAGAAACAATTAAGACAAAACGAAGATATTGAACCTGCACCGTCAGGCTCAAATGTGGTCAGAGAGTGCTCGAAATCATCATCCAGGTACCTGATTTTCTTAAAAGGCTTCTATTAAACTAACATTTTCTAGGTTTTCATAACATAGTTTAGGCAAAGTTCCTGATAGTCAAAGTTTGCATAATTTCTCATTTTAGTTAATTGTATATCCTTAGGTCATAAAAAAGTCCTTTGTCAAGGCCGAGGATTTAGCTCAGTGGTTCTGGCACCTACCTTGCAAGCTGAGGACCCGAGTTCAATCCCTGGTACCAAAAAAACAAAAAGTCCTTGTCAAATTTGAAATCAGTGAAGATTTAAAAAAGTATTCCAAGTATAATATTAAAATCTACAGGGGCCCGGGATTTAGCTCAGTGGTGCAGCACCTGCCTTGCAAGTGCAAGATCCTGAGTTCGATCTCTGATACAGGGGAAAAAAAAAAAATTTTTGCTTTCTGGCTGCAAAACATAATCCTGTAAAGTTGGAGAAATGTTGACAGGTTTGCAGTTTTCATTATGTTGGCTTTATATCTTCATTCATGGTAACTTTTTTGTTAGGATCCTTTACAGAATGGATATTGGGAAAGAATATAGAGATACATTATGAAGTTCCTGAATTATAGGAGAAAGAAGCCATTCAAATTACTTCAGGGCCGGGTGTAGTGGCGCACATCTATAATCCCAGCACTCAGGAGACTGAGGCAGGAGGATTGCCACAAGTTCAAGGTCAGACTGAACTATAGAGCAAGACCCTGTCTTTAAAAAAAATTACTTTACAGTGAAATTTCATACTGTGTAAATTAATTACAGTGTTAAGAACTTAAAAAAGTCCAGATTCATAGATGTAAAATCTAAATAGAATAATATAAGAAATCTAATGTTTAGATTTTTTTGTTTTTGTTGTGGTAGGGAGTCAAACCCAGGGCTTCTTACATGCTATAGGTAAATGTTCTATCACTGAGCTATATCCCAGGCCCAAGATATATATTTAATTGTCAAATGGGTTCCATAAACTTTTCATTGGTCACATATAATATGCTGGGCAAAGCCTATCATTGGATTGACTTTTTTTTTTTTTTTTTTTT